GAATTATTACGTACGAAGAATACCTCATGCTTTTACCACCGGACAGAGGAAACCCTAGAAAACTAAAAGCTAGCACAGGCGAGATTCGTATATATCTTTTCGTATCTTTCTTTTTAAATATATATGTCTCATTTATGTGTGTTTCTTATGTTTGTATATATCTTTTGGTTTTAGCATTCGACACTAAGGGAATTCCGACCTTTCTCCTATCGACGGCGATCGGTTCCTCGACGACGATGCGATCCGGCTGCGTCCGACGATCTAGCCTCGATCTATCCGGCCTCCGGGGGTCCCTAGCGCATCCTCCGTCGAGATCGTTCTCTTTCGGAAAACTGCTCTTCCTTGCGGTTCTCTCGAATTCGTTGGCATCGGTCGTGTTCGTCGGCGAAGGGTCTGCTACGCGGACGGTCGTCGAGAACGATTCCTGTCGCATCGGATCGAGGATTCCGTTGAGTTACGCGCGACCTAGTCTCGTCTTCGCGATGATTCGGTGTCGGATCCTGGGCGGTTTCCGGCGTTCTTGTCCATTCTCGAAAGCAGCGGAGCGACGGTGTCTCGTTTAACCGGCTTTCGCGTCGAGCCTCGATCGTTGCTACGAGAATGCCGGCGGATACTTTCGAATATAATTTCAAACAGAGACTAGCAACGGTCGGACGCGTTGCCGAAGGCCTCCTCTCTCGTTTGCCTCGACGAATCGTAATATTCGATAATTTTCATGAAATATTTCCAACGAAAGCTCGATCGAAGTCTAAAAGTCTAAAAGTCTAAAAAGTAATGGTCGAGGAGGATCGCGATAATACGGTAACGAGACACCGTCAACGGGTCTCCGCTCTCGGTCTTCCGTGGTTGTTCCTCGACGGATCCTCGGTACGGTCGTCGATCGGCAACGGTCGTATAGCCGGTGGGAGAGGCGGAACGACCGCGATTTAGCAGCAGCGAACGACAAGAGCCGACAGAGAGCAGGAAAACGACACAGAGAGAACGTGAGAGAACACCGGTATATAATAATAGAGTACACGGCTCCTCCACGCAAAAACGGCCTCAAAAAATACATTACGTGTGAAGAAGGTAGTACACGTGGCATGCAAACGGTGACAAGTCTTCTAGATACGTTATCGAGCGTGTCAATCAAGCTTTACGGGGACCGCCCCGAGCCCGGAGCAACGGCGACTCGCGACTACCCCGCGATTCGTCTCTCGAATCGAATTCTTTCGCCGAACCGGCCCGTCGAAACGGAACGGTCCGTTGCTCCCGAGCCCGGCCGGTCGCATCTACCGGGTTACAATCGATTCCGGGCTTCGTGATCGTCGCTGTTATTCACTGAAAGCTAAACGCCACTAATCAAGACCAGAAAAAAGCCTACAGCATGCACTCCTCTGTTCGATAAAGAGAGGGAGAGAAAAAGAGAGAGAGAGAGAGAGAGAGAGAAAGAGAGGGAGAGAGAGAGAGAAGAGAGTTCGATAGGTTGCACACGAGCCTTCGCGAACGATCGCGCGACGCGGGTCGACGAGATCGTCCTCGATCGATCGATCGATCGCTACCGGGACAAACGAAAGATCGCGAGGCAGACTTTGATCTCTTCGAGAGATCGTTGTCGAGAAGAGACGCTCGAACCGACGGACCAGAATCGCGAACAGAAAGAAAAATTTGCGGGAAACCGGGCGGAGAAACGTAAAATGAAATCGAAGATCGGGATCGGGAATGGGAGAAATCGAAAATCGAAAATCGAAAATCGGATGCATGCCACGTAAACCGAGATCGCGAGAGGACGGAGCAGAAAATTTCCTCGGGTCAGCTTGGAAAAGCTCCTCTTTATTGGCTCGAACACACGTTTCTGTGGAGAACACTGGCAATACCGTGCGCGTACGCGCGCGCGCGAACCTGGATCGTTCTCGTCGATCGTCGTCGATCCTCGACGATCTCTTCCGGACGCGGTGTGTTCTCGTCGACTTCCTGCCACCAGTGCCATCCGTTTCTTTTTCACTCCCTCACTTCCCCCTCTCGCACTCTCTCTTTCTCTCCCGCTCTCGATCTCCAGTTTCCTTTCTTCCCTCGTGTCTTCTTTCCGTTCGATGGCTTCGCGCGGATCTCCCTTTCCTTAGCTTCTTCCTTCGTGGGGAAAAGTCTCTGAGCGGGAGTCTTCTTCCGTCGACGTTTCGTCGATCGCACCGTCACTTTGCACAGCTTTATCGAGTTCTCGGAAACGCGAGGCGTCGCTTCGAGGATTCGGCGAGCGGATCTGCGAGTCTCGCGAACGTTCGATTTGCCGTTCGATCGGTTAAAGTCGTTCCGCGCGAGACGACGTTAAGAGCTCGTTCTTCTACGAGCGATTCGAGGAGAACCGCGCGACCTCTTTTTCTCGAAGCACGAATATCGAGAGCAATAAATTCGGAATAGAAAGGACTGGAGGAAAAGCGCTTAAAAAAACTCGAACACCGCTCGTTTCGTTGGATTTGCCAAAATTCGTTGCGCCGTAAACGCACGGTCCGATGGAAAACCTTAAAAAGCGGTCGAAACCGCCCGAGAACGTGGAAGATCGAGAGAGCACGTATCGCGCCTCGACGCGCGGCCTCGCCTTTCCGCGCACAAGCGTTCTCGTCGTCGTAGGTCCCGTCGATCGCGCGTCGATGACGCGTCGAATCGACTTTGTTCGGTGTCGCGTCGCACGCGGCAAATACCGCGTCGGTTCTAAGTACACAGGCAGGTAACTCAGGTTTACGGATCACTAGAAACAATACCCTGTATCGGTCCGTGGCCCGAGCAGCCACGAAGCTATCCTAAGGAATGACGGAGTCTATAAAATTCTGTCGACGTCGAACGGAACGGAACAATGGAAAAAATCCGCTGTTACAATAGGAAGGAACGAGTCGATAATGGAATTTGTCGACGCACGTATTTGTCGACGATCTAGATCTACGAATACTGTGTGGCCGGAATACTTTCTCGAAATACCCTGTAGCTCCGTGTTACGTTAAACTTAATCGCCTAAACGTCCAAAGTCTAAAGCCTAAGGTCTAAAGTCTAAAGTCTAAAGAGCGCTCGCGATCGCACGCGCGAGAGGAAACGACAGCGGGGATCAAATTGTTTCGCCGATTTCGCGGCGGTTTCCGGCAACGAGATTTACGGTCGTCGGGATTCGAAGGAAAAACGACGCCGGCATATGGCAGCTCCGATGGATCCACGCTGCGGTTCCTTTCGCGACGCCACCGAGCGCGTACGCGAACGCGAGCGCGGTTCGCGCGAACCGAGGATTCGCTGGCCTAAGAACTAGAGGTTCGCTCTGTCTCGTGCCGACCTACCACTGACCGTTAGATTCAACTGTTCGAGATCCGGGCTCCAACGATTTCGCAGCGAGCAGTTTCCGGAACCTGTCTCCGGTTTCTCGGCAACAAGACGATCAGCCTCCGCGCTGCTGCAGGATTTCGCTCGCTTCTGGAAATCCGGCGGACAGATCTGGAAATTCTAACAACGGAATTTTTTTGCTGAATTTACAACTTTATTACCACGATATTTGATTTCGATCGTTTTATCGGTAAACAAGCTCGAACGGGAACGGAACGAGCTCCGACGAGTTTTCTCCCGCTGGAACTTCTTCACCGATCGACGATCAAAGTCCTTCGGAAAAATCTGATCAATTTTCCACGACTCTGTCCGCGCTCGTCCGGCGATTCTCTTGCCCCGAGCAACCGTCGCGGCCTCCGTCGTGGAGCGGATATGGAACGTTGGATATTTCTTCGTGTTCGTGTGTGTGCGCGCGCGTGTGTGCCCTCGCTTGTGTATTTGTCCGCGTGTGGATGTCTGTGCGAGAAAACGTGGGATCTGGGCGTTGGTGCGAGCTCTCCCTCGCGAACCCTTGCCTCGGCCGGGACGAGAGAGAGAGAGCGCGCGATAGAGAGAGAGATAGATAGAGAAAGAGAGAGAGAGAGAGAGAGAGAGAGAGAGAGAGAGAGAGAGAGGAGAACGAAACAGGGTCGAGACAGCGGTCTCTCGCGAGCTGGTTGAACGACGAGCAATTAGTTGTAGGTAAATAAAGTCTGTACACCCACCTTGGCTCTGCTGGTATCATCGAGAACCCTAAAAGAAAGCTTTTTCTGGCCAGAGTGTCGGGGGAGGGGGCGTTTCTCTGACGAGACGAGGGGTACCATCTAAGGATCAGTGCTAGATCTGTCGCACGCCTGGCGTAAACGACGCGATCGTCGCGTCCGTGGAAACCTCGTCGCGCGGAAGTCGAGTCGGTCCCGCGAACGAATGCTTCGGAAATGCTTCGGCAACGCGAAAGCTACGCTTTGCGAATCCATTGGAAATTTCGACTCGACTCGACTCGACCCCACGCGGACCGTTCGGTTTCGTCGAAACGGACTCGCTCGCGATCGGCCGTCGGCCTCGCGAAGCTAATCGTTGCGCGTACACCTCTAGAGTATATATATATACCTAAATATCTGTGTACGCCTGTGTAGATAAAAAAAATAGAAAAAATATAGATCGTGAATCGTTGGCGGGATCGAGCCCAGCCGGTCACGATACGATCGCGATGCGATCGCGATACGATCGCGGTTCTACGGCCCGTGGCCGTCTTTCTCTGAAATGTGTCTGAAAATTTCTTTTGTTGGCTTGGTCGTGGTGTGTTGGCGGCTGTTTGGGAGGAAACAAACGAAAATGTGAACTCTACTCGGAGAGACAGTCTTTCTCTCTCCGGTTGCTTGGCTTTTTGTGCGCGCGTGTCTCCGCGATCGTCGCGACACTCCGCGACACTCCGCGATCGCCGGTCGCGGACGGTGCTGCTAGCAGTCGACGGTCGGCAGCAGGGCCGACGCCCGGCACCGGAACACCGTCCGACCCGGCGACCGGGCTCGCGGACGAGTCGTCTCTCGCCGCCGCACCGTCTCGCCGTCGTCGCCTTTGGCCGTCTCATCGCCTTCAGGAGAATCCGTAGCAATTCTCGCGGATCTCGAAGTAGAGATTCAGCAGTGCCGACTCCGGCACGTCGTGGAAGCACCTACCCTCTGGCCACTGTACGCATACTGAAACAGAAAAGCGAACCGATCGCGTTAGACAAGGGTTTTCCGACAGGAAACATTTTCAATTTGTACGCGTTGTTTCGTCGATACGCGTGCCGAATCGCGACGCGATCGAGCGATCGAGCGCGAACGCGTCGCGAGATTTTTCGCGATAAATATGGCTGGGAGAAACGTTCTCCGTACGAAGAAGAACGGGGAACGAAGAACGAGGCGAGCGTTCCGGCGGCGGAGTGGCGAGACGCTGATCGATCGCCTTTTATTTCCGGAGGCTCGAAGGATGCCGGCCAAGCGTGTTTTCTCACGAAAGCGGATCCTCCGCGGGAATCCTTCGCTGGGAGACGGAACCCGTCCCGCGCTATAACTTATGGTCGCCTCGATATCCGCACCGAAATAGATCGTGGATTTGTCCGAGACGAACGTTCGTCTTTCCCTCGCGGTCCCACCCTCCGACTCTGATGCCATGCGAAATCGGTTGTCCGCGGTGTCAACGGAATCTGCGCGATTTCTCGTCGGACCCGAACCTCGAACCTCGTTTCATTCGCGTCTCTGTAGCGTTTCGTTTCGTTCCAAGTTTTTTCGTAATACGGTTACCAAACGGATACGTACGCGTTCACTTTCATTCCGAAATATTTTCAATCAAATTCCATCGTCGACGGACGAACGAACGCGCGCCCGGACAGGAATATATAGCTTTCGTTATTTTTTTCGTCCGTTACACAATTTTCGCAACCGTTGCTTCTCGTCGAAATCGACCGATAACGCGGTTTTTAAAACCGGGCAAAAGTAAAGTCGAACACCTTCGATAAATTCTTCGCGGAAAAATTCGCCTTCGATTCGCGATCGATCGACCACGTATAAGCTGTCCGACGATTTAGGAAACACATCGCGCGCGCTCCCGTTTTCCGACGGTGAACGAACAAAAAATCAGGCCATCGAAACGTTCGCGGACGAACGGTTTTCCATTAGAATTTATCGAGCACAAAAGAGCCCGGCCATTAACATTAAATCGAAAACAAATCTCTAAATTAATTTAAAGCGATTGGGAGAGTCGAGCACTGGGGAGGGACGATCGAAGCGAACCTCGATCGAATCAATTCGCGCGTAGCCAATCTACGGAAGTCCGTCTCTATCGGAATAAACGCGAATTTCGGCGCGCTCGTTCTTCCCGGCTCTTTCTTTCGAATCGGATCGGATCGATTCGAGCAGGCCTAGGCGGCGGATAATTAACGCGAAACTATGCCCGCCGCGAACTCCCTGTCTCGATAAATACGATCGGCGTTCGTAATTCGTCCCACGCGTCGCTGCGACGATGGAATTTCGAATGAAAATAGCGGCCTCGTTCGGAGAAATCGGTTTCCAGGATCGAGGATCCGGACGCGGGTTCGCGTCGAGGAATTTTCGAGCGTCGCGGCAACCGGCCTTGGCGCTCGGCGATCAAAATCCCGGACACCGATCAACGTCGGCATCGATTCCCCGATAGCCCCGATCCACCCCCGCCCGGCGAAACATCGTGGAGAGTCGAGCGACATTAATGGACAGTGATTTACGCGTCCGTAACGGGTCGCGATTTCAGGATGGTCGGAGCTTTGACGGCCGAACGTCGCCGGAAGGATTGATCGCGGGATCGCGTGACGGCCGGCGATGCGGCCGTAATCAAACGGAAGCTGGCGAATTATTCGTCCAACCTTAACTCGGAAGAAACTCCTCTCTCCTCTCTCTCTCTCTAATCCCCTCTCGCGGAAGCGGCGACTCGGCGGCCGCGGGCCGCGACCGGGTCGATCGGACACGCTATCCGCCTCCGCACGCGGAATCTTCCGCATATCTCCGGCTAATTTAAATCTCAATTCCGCCGGTTGATAAACAACGGTTATGCCGCCATGTGTCTCGCGGAGGAACCGTTTCCACGATGCTCCACTGGCACACATGCGATCGACCCGGTCCGAAGGCTGCTTTTATCTTCGAACCGCCCCGAAAATTTAGCTCGCTAAAAATTCCACGAGGTTCGAACGATTTACCCTTTAAAGCGGCACAACTTTCTCCGAATCGAGAACGAGGTTCGATATTCGACGAACTCTCCGATTCGAAGAGGCGACGACGTCGGACTTCCCTGGCCGACGACTAAAATCGAAAAATCTCGTTACCACCGTGAAAACCGCGTCATCGAAGAATTTCAACGGCCGACGATCGATCGAGCCATTTTCGCGTCCCCGAGAGTCTCGACGCTCTCCGCGGCGGTCGAAATAATTTTGCAAATGGAGGTCGAAACGGCTCCCGATATAGCAGCCCCCCGAACAACTTCCCGAGAGGATTGTCTCGCGCGGTTTCGCCCGGCGGAGTATCGGTTTCGGGAAATGGATTTTCCAAGACGCGGTTTTCGCGGCGCGTCGTCGCGCCATTTCATTTGCGGCAGCCTCGCCGTCGCGACGTCGTCGTCGACGGGAGCCCGGTACACGCACCTCCGTGAAAACAAACCGGTCTCGTCGCGTCGGAGCGGTGGTCGAGACCACCCTCGCTCGTTATTCCCGACGGCGTTTGCGGTTTGCTGCCACGCGTAATCCCGAGGCGGCGCTGGCAAGTAGACGTTTGCCCGCGGAATATTCGATCTTCGATAATACCGTTCCCGATACCGCCTTGTTTTCGGGACGCTGCCTATCGGCCCGATGAAATTTGCATTCCGAGCGTCGCGGCGAACCGGCGTCTGCGGAGCCCGAAAAGGATAAAGCGAGAGGGAGAGAGAGAGATAGCTAGAGAGCGATAAGTGGAAACGATTCGAACGAGCCGCAGCCTCCCGCGGACGCGCGTTGGTAAAATGGTAAGAGAATCGGGGCGAGCTTCGAAAGAGGAGACGGCATCAAAAATTTAAGCGTTCCAGATAGCGCGGCAAGTATTTTAAGCTACGCTCCACCTACTCCATCGTACGCGGAGAGATAGCTGCGGTAACTTTAGAACCGTGTTCGATACGAAAAAGTTTCCATCGAGGCCCGCGAACCGCTCTCCCGTTTCTCGCTACCGAATCGTTCGTGTCGCGAGAGGGCGAGACGCGGCGTCTCGCTTCGGATATTGTTATTTTCTGCCGGGACATCGCGGGGTACTCGACGCTTTTGGAACGGCAGCGTTTCGCGACCCGCGAGGATCGTCGAGTGCGATTTAAGAACGAACACCGTCGCGGACGGATCACCGAAGCCTGTCGCGTACGCCCGTCGGCCAGAAATAGTCCGCTTCGGCCCTCCAGGCCCGGAGCGGCTGCACCAGAAAATCGTGGAAGAGCTCGACCCACAGCCGCCGGGAAAATGAAACGCCGTCTATCGAGCGCTGTCTCCGGAACGGAATTTTGGAACGCCGCGCCGCGTCCGTCGCGTATCGTCGCGGATCTCCGACGTCGCCTCTCCGCACCTCGCGGAAATACGCGCGAGCAAGACGCGAGCCGCCAACGTCGAGCGAGTCCTCGAAAACGAACGATTCTCGTCGCGATCGGTTTCCCGACGGGACGTCGCGTCGATACGCCGCGTAAAAGCGCGACGCTTCCTGCAAAATGCTCGGGGGCTTTGGCTACGGTCCGTATAAAATTTTCAAGACCCGAGCAGCAGCAGGCGAGCGAGCGAGATACGCGCGCGGCTCTCCCGAAACTGCTTGAATATTCACTGTGTCGTCCCTTATCGCTTTGTCCGCGCTCCGTGGCGAACAAAGGGAAACGCAGACGACGGCGACGACGACGACGACGGGAAGAGCGTTTTCGCCCGGGATTTCCTGTCAAACGTACGAAAATGACTCCGACGAGTCGCTCCATTTCGCGACAGTACTCCGTGCCAACGATACAATTTCCACGAGATCGTTCGAATTATTGGGCCTTCGATTAGGACTCTGGCAGGCCCGAGACGAAAACCTGCCTCGCTTTCGTCGTACCGATCCCTCGATAAGACGACGCGTTCGAGTCGCGATCGCGGCGACATCGTCGCTGAAACCCGTGGGAACCTGCGGGAAATGCTTGTCGAGTCAACGATTAAGAGGTGTTAGCCTCGCGGCGCATACCGTGCGCGCGTCAAACGGATCGAATCGGCCTTAATCTCGTGTCGCCCAGCTCCCAGCTCGTGGATAATTGCGCGATCCGAACGTTGGGTCGAATTTCCAGCGACTAATGCGGTCGGCAAGGAATTGGTTCTGCCAGGTGGCGATCGATTTAGTCGGCGTGCTCGCCGCGGCTCTTCGGCGGATGCGGTTCGACTACCGAATGCCTAGGATGATTTTGATTTTGACGGAACCCCGAGAGGAATTTCATCCCGTTAAGTAGCGCCGCGAATTCTCTCGGATTCCGCCGGAATCGGATCCATCTTTTTCCTCTCTTCGGTCTCTATCGGACACCTGCTGATCCCTCCGCCTCGCCGCGCCCCGCCGCGCGCCGGCTTAATTGCTTTCGCCGCGGAAGGTCGAAGGAATCTTTTGTCTTCGTTTCGATCTTAATTGGACAACGAGCTCTTCCTATTTCCACCCTCGAGCCGATTTCTGCCCTCTTTTAACAATTTCAACGGATTTCCAATCCCGCGGCCATTTTTATCGACCGATACGTGGAAATCGCCGAGGTTCCCGATGACCGAGAAACGGCTGCTGGAATTCGGTGTCGCGACGCTCGTCGGATGCCGTCGATCGAGTGTCCGATTACGGGCTAACGAATCCGCCTATAATTAGGAACGCGTTCGTCGGGTTGTTCCGATTCGGGTTATACGAACGGTTCGACCGCTTGGGAAACACTTGGCAGCAGGACGGTCGTAGTTGTCGCCGAGTGTGCCGATTATTTATAACCGGTCGCGCTCGTGCGAAAAATCGCCCCTTTCGTTCGCGCATTCGCATTCGAAAGCATCGGAAACCCGAAATATCGCCCGACCGACGTCCCCTGGAACCTCGGAAGCGAAATCGCTGATAGCGATATTTCCGGCGGGGCGATCAAATATTAAATTGTCGCGAAGCGAAACGTTGCTCCGCGGTCCGTGCCATCCCGCGTCGAGCCGCTGCTCGTTATTGCACCGAATCGGCTAACTCTTTCGAGATCGGTCGATCTCGAGACGGGCGCCGATACGACCGCGATAGAAATCATGCGCGTTTTCGATTCCTAGTATTAGGATTAAATTTCTTATCCGATTCGAGGGAAACGTATACCGTTCCGGCTAAATCGTGCAAATACCGCGCGGGAGATGCACGACTCGAGACGCGAAACGGAAGAAAAACGGCGAAAATGGACGCGATCCGAAGATCTCGCGCGGCAACGTCGAGAGAACGGCGCTCGGTTTAATTAATTTTCTTGCGTACGCGAGTCCGCTCGTAAATTATAATATTAGCGCAATTAGCACGGCGGAATCGAAGTTGAGCAGGCACGTCGATCCCATCGGTACTCGGGACGAGATCGCGCGCGCAGAATTTCGAAGCGAATTGCGACGGAGCGGAGACGAGAAAGAGAGAGAGAGAGAGAGAGAGAGAGAGAGAGAGAGAGCTCGCAGACGTCGCGCGGTAATTCTCGCTTCTCGCTTTTCGCTTTTCACGTAGTTGGAGCCGCGCGGCAACTTTGTAATTAAACAGAGAGGCACGGAGCGACGGGGTCCCCGGGGAATAATCGAGAAGATACATCCGTGCCGCCTCCTTGGGTGTTTTCGACGGGATCGTTGGCTCGGTGTTCGGGCTCCGAGCGAGACTACGCGTCCACGGTCGGTCGCGATTCGCCGGTTTCCGTCGATTTCCGTCGATTTCCGTCGATTTCGGTCGGTTTTCGGCGGACACGGTTCGCGTCGGGGCCGCGGCAACCGGCCGAGCCGCTGATCCGGATTAAGTCGCGATTCGAACGGGGCCGGGACAATGGCGTCGCGATTAGATTTAGATTAAAGCCAATTGCTCGGACGATCGGATTAGACCGGGCGATTCCCGTGGATCCCCCGACGATGAATCGTGCTCGATGGCCTGTCCGTGCCGCGCCGCCGCGCGTTATCTCGCCACCGAGCGGAACAGAAGTTCCTTCGACGAGCCGGTAATCGTCCGCCGGAACGTCGCAAGCGCGGTACTCGCGAGATCGAACCGTTTCAACTATTTTTCGAGCCGTTATCGAATCTACTCTCGAACTCGTATATTTTTCCACTCGTTCTCGTCGAAAAGGAGAAACTTTTCGTTCCGCCATATTTTCGATACATTTTCAAACACGATTACAAGAAAAATATTGTTCGGAGAATCGCTGGTAAATGAAACGTCAACCTACCGTTGGGTACCGTCGGTGGTTTCTTCGTCTGCACCCTCGCCGTCGCGTTGTTCACCTGTCGAACCAAAAACACAGCGTTACAAGTCATCGAATATCGTTCGAACGTTGCTCGCATCATCCTTTGTCGATCGTCGAGAGATCCGCGCGCGTTCGGCTTTCGTCGGGACAGTTTTCATCGGCAATTTTCCCGATTTCCCAGCGAGGAAACTCGGCAACGGAAGGGACAGAGGGAGAGGGAGAGGGAGAGGGAGAGAGAGAGAGAAAGAAAAAGAGAGGAAGAGAACGTATCGAAGGGACCAAGTTTCGAAACGCAATCTCGGAGGCTTCGATGAAACGAAAGTTGCCCGTGGAAACTTCGTGTCCCGACTACGGCCGAGCCAACGTTTCCCCGTCGAGAGGAAAACCGTCGACGATGAGAACGATGCCGATCGATCGAGGCCTCGCGCGGATCTCTCGCGATCGCGATCGCGTCGACGGACACACGATCTTCCGTGTACAGTCTATAGTTTCGTCGCGTATTCGCATTTTCTGCCAGATCTCCGTCGAAGCGACGAGGCTCGAATAGAAATCGCGTGTTCGTCGATCCGCGTCCAATGAATCACCGATTCCATTTGCCTTTGCGCGTCGCTGTTTCGATTTTCNGAATCGGCTAACTCTTTCGAGATCGGTCGATCTCGAGACGGGCGCCGATACGACCGCGATAGAAATCATGCGCGTTTTCGATTCCTAGTATTAGGATTAAATTTCTTATCCGATTCGAGGGAAACGTATACCGTTCCGGCTAAATCGTGCAAATACCGCGCGGGAGATGCACGACTCGAGACGCGAAACGGAAGAAAAACGGCGAAAATGGACGCGATCCGAAGATCTCGCGCGGCAACGTCGAGAGAACGGCGCTCGGTTTAATTAATTTTCTTGCGTACGCGAGTCCGCTCGTAAATTATAATATTAGCGCAATTAGCACGGCGGAATCGAAGTTGAGCAGGCACGTCGATCCCATCGGTACTCGGGACGAGATCGCGCGCGCAGAATTTCGAAGCGAATTGCGACGGAGCGGAGACGAGAAAGAGAGAGAGAGAGAGAGAGAGAGAGAGAGAGAGAGAGCTCGCAGACGTCGCGCGGTAATTCTCGCTTCTCGCTTTTCGCTTTTCACGTAGTTGGAGCCGCGCGGCAACTTTGTAATTAAACAGAGAGGCACGGAGCGACGGGGTCCCCGGGGAATAATCGAGAAGATACATCCGTGCCGCCTCCTTGGGTGTTTTCGACGGGATCGTTGGCTCGGTGTTCGGGCTCCGAGCGAGACTACGCGTCCACGGTCGGTCGCGATTCGCCGGTTTCCGTCGATTTCCGTCGATTTCCGTCGATTTCGGTCGGTTTTCGGCGGACACGGTTCGCGTCGGGGCCGCGGCAACCGGCCGAGCCGCTGATCCGGATTAAGTCGCGATTCGAACGGGGCCGGGACAATGGCGTCGCGATTAGATTTAGATTAAAGCCAATTGCTCGGACGATCGGATTAGACCGGGCGATTCCCGTGGATCCCCCGACGATGAATCGTGCTCGATGGCCTGTCCGTGCCGCGCCGCCGCGCGTTATCTCGCCACCGAGCGGAACAGAAGTTCCTTCGACGAGCCGGTAATCGTCCGCCGGAACGTCGCAAGCGCGGTACTCGCGAGATCGAACCGTTTCAACTATTTTTCGAGCCGTTATCGAATCTACTCTCGAACTCGTATATTTTTCCACTCGTTCTCGTCGAAAAGGAGAAACTTTTCGTTCCGCCATATTTTCGATACATTTTCAAACACGATTACAAGAAAAATATTGTTCGGAGAATCGCTGGTAAATGAAACGTCAACCTACCGTTGGGTACCGTCGGTGGTTTCTTCGTCTGCACCCTCGCCGTCGCGTTGTTCACCTGTCGAACCAAAAACACAGCGTTACAAGTCATCGAATATCGTTCGAACGTTGCTCGCATCATCCTTTGTCGATCGTCGAGAGATCCGCGCGCGTTCGGCTTTCGTCGGGACAGTTTTCATCGGCAATTTTCCCGATTTCCCAGCGAGGAAACTCGGCAACGGAAGGGACAGAGGGAGAGGGAGAGGGAGAGGGAGAGAGAGAGAGAAAGAAAAAGAGAGGAAGAGAACGTATCGAAGGGACCAAGTTTCGAAACGCAATCTCGGAGGCTTCGATGAAACGAAAGTTGCCCGTGGAAACTTCGTGTCCCGACTACGGCCGAGCCAACGTTTCCCCGTCGAGAGGAAAACCGTCGACGATGAGAACGATGCCGATCGATCGAGGCCTCGCGCGGATCTCTCGCGATCGCGATCGCGTCGACGGACACACGATCTTCCGTGTACAGTCTATAGTTTCGTCGCGTATTCGCATTTTCTGCCAGATCTCCGTCGAAGCGACGAGGCTCGAATAGAAATCGCGTGTTCGTCGATCCGCGTCCAATGAATCACCGATTCCATTTGCCTTTGCGCGTCGCTGTTTCGATTTTCACGATTTTCGCCTCGATAAAACGGCGTTCCTTCTTTGTTCGACTCCTGTCGCATTCAACGCGCTTCGTATTTTGCATCGAGATCCACGGGGTTCGGGGATCGGTTACGATGCCAGCGACGCGCAGCTGCGAGTTTCGATCGAATCCAGACGATAAACCGATCGATCGTGCGGCATTTTCCAAGATCGAAACGACGGATCTATTTTATGTCTCGAAATCCCGTCTGAATTCGAGAAACGTTTAAAATCTAGTTATCGGCGCGAGCAGAGTCTGCGAGAAGTTTTTCGCTCGGAGACTCTGCTCGTTCCAGTTCCCGTTCTCGGTCTCGAAGACGAATCGTCCGATCGACGAGACGCCGTCTCGATCCCGGAAACTAAAAATTCTCGTCCGCTTCGGAATCGCGCGTCTTCGGGACCGGGAACGAAAGCGATCGACCGATCGCTTCAATGTCCTCGATGCGTCGACGATGATTCGACGTAGCTACGATTTGTTATCCTCGGTCCAACGTTGTACGAGCAAAGTTATTCGTTGGCCGAGAGAAATGTTTCGAAATCGTCGAATCGCCCGCAAAGTTTGTCGCGCCTTCTTCCGAATGCGGAAATAATTACGGACTGGTCCGCTCTTCCGTCGGCTTCCTTTCGATTTGATCGCGAAACGGAACGAAGTTTGCGGACGATGCCACTTCCGTAACGAACGAATCGACGTCTAAACGCGACAAAGCGAATAATCGGCTATCGAACCGAACGGCGCGCGAAACAAACGAACTGCCGCGAAGGGCAGCTCCGTCGCGTCGGGACATTGGCAGCGATCGATTTTCCAGGGCTGGTTCCGGAAAAGCGGGAAACGGTCCTCCGAACGCGTCGCGTTCGTCCTCGAATCGGCGTTTTTCCGCGTCGCCTTTCGCCTCGAACGATCCCGCTTTCCCGGACGATTGCGGGGCGGGGGGTTGGGGTGGCGGAAGAAAAAAAAAGAAGAATCAAAGAGTCTGTTGTCGTCGATTTCCGATTATCCGAATTTCGCGCAAGTACTTTCGTCGACTGGCCGAACGAGAAAGGCGAAAGGCGAAAGGCGAAAGGCGAAAGGCGAAAGGAGAGCGTCTCTCGACTCCCTTTGTCGGCCCGTTTCCTCTCGCGACTCCCGTCCGCGTCGCCGCTTTTCAGCTTTCCCCATCCAGCTTCTCCATTCACGGCCCCTCGAGGCCGCGGCGAATCTTCCGGGCGAAGCACCATCGACGACCGTCGCGGGATCCCGCGGAGTTCTTTGCGCTCGTTTTACTGCCACCTATGTTTCCTCTCCTCTCCTCTCCGCTCCTTTCCTACCTTCCCTTCGAGACTGCTAATTCATCGGCGTTTGTCTCTCTACGGAGAATCGTCTTTTGGCCCGCGGTGTCGGTTCGCGTCGGCACGGGAGCGTGGAAGAAGCTGTTTCCTTTTCCATTTTACGAATCGTTCCGCAATTTCTTTAACGCCGACGATCGATCTCCATCGATTCATTTTACTTTCGACAAACGTGTTCGAAAATAATCGTTGGACGCGCGTACGCGTACGCGTACGCGCCAATGAACTAAAAAAGATACTTTATTATTAGAATAGAACTGCGACTAATTGTTTCCCTCGCTATATTCGTCGACGAGGACTAGGCGCTCTCTTAATTTCATTTCGTCACTGGACCAGGTTTCTTCGCATCGCATATCGGGCCGCTGCGATTGGTTATTACCTCTGGCGTTCGTCCAAGTTCGAAGCAATTGGAACTCTTTGGCCCGTTTCTTTAGACGATACGCTATAGATACCGGAGCCGCTAGGAGACGGTTCTTTTTTCAACCCGACACGTCCGTCGAGCATTCTTATTCTTTCGATGATAACGCGATCGCGTTCTGATCCCTCCCAAAATCGTTTCGCGTTCGAAAGAAACGAGAGCAGATTATCGTTCGCGCGGATAGGTACCGCGCGATCCTACATCTTTCCAGGTGCTCTCGCAAATCCTAGCTCCGTCGAAGCGCGATAAGGAAAATCCACATCGTTCCCGGTAATCTGCCGGAATCGAAACGGCAGTTTTTCTCGTTGGTTTAACAATTTGCGTCGCGTGACCGGCTCGCTCCACACCTATTTAAGCGGACAAATCGCGTCGCGGATTTCTGAAACGGCTCCCGGTATTCTTCGAAGCATCGTCCGCGGCCCATAAATTTGTTGGACACGAGTACGTGGTATACGGAACAACCGTTCGGCCGGTTTATTCCGCCGGCGAGACCGATCTCGCCGCGTCGCGTCGCGTCGAACCGAGCCGTGCCGTGCCGTGCCGAGACGGTCGATTTGCATTTTACGGTACCGTTTGCCGGCGACGAGATTGCGTTCTACCCGCGCCGATATTCGTTACGAGAACAACCAACGAACTTTGTCGCCCCGTAACTACGGATCGCGTCTAATTTTCCGGCGGAAAATCGCGAGCCCGCCGGGAAAGCCGGCCGAACAATGAGGAAACGATCGCGCGCGAACCGTCCGATATACCTCGGCGGCATCCTTGTCGCTGGCAAACACCGAATGCAGTTAGCGTTAGAAATTGCTCGGTTACCTACGAGTTCCTTTAGCTCGAACAACGGAAAATCGTTTCTCCCGTTGGAAACGATTCGTTGCTGCGCTAATTTCGAATCTCGAAGCGTCTCGACGCTCGATTACCGATTTTTAAAAGGCTATTAACCGAATAAAACGTCGTTACCTAGGGACGGCGGAAAGATGAAAACCGTATTAGCCGAGTGGCAACTCTAGGCAGAGAATCGAGTTACCACGGCGTTCTTTCGCGGAAATTGCATTAATTAAGAGCCGCGCGCGTCGAATTGAAAGCCGCTTCGAGGAACACGCCGGAGCGTCTGGGAGGAGACGCGAATCCAAATTCGAATCCCGGCAAACGTTGAAAGATCCCTTCGACCTCGATTTCCGGCACCGGTGTTCGGAACGACGCGAGGGTGCTCGCGCGAAAGGGCTCCAAGTTCGCGCAGACTCGTTTGTCAAGGATAAAGGAAGCGACGCGAAGAGATCCGGTAGTCGAACACGGCCGTGGTCCCCGTTCATAAATTCTCGAGTTTTCGACCGGTTCCGTGGTTAGCACCGGGCCCTCGAAGTTCCGAAGGAACTTCGCTGCCGCCTCGCGGTTCATCGATAATTAACGTTCGACGGCGAACGAAAGATAAATAACCGACGGAACTTCCATCGGAAGCCGCGAACGCTGCTCGGTTTCGCGAAAAATTCGCGGGCCGGCCGATGATCCAAGATTCGTTCGAACTTTCCGACAAACATGCGACGAGAGTTTGTTTAGAAACGGCTTCGACCCTTCGACGCGACGAAATATACGGAGAAAACTTTACTATGGAAGAATCGCTGCCTCCAATTTCTTACAACTTAGCTCGCCCTGTGAACGAGTAAATATTTCTTAGTTAGGAAAAATCGAAGAGAAGGGTTGCGCGCGAGGAAAACCGAGGGTCGGATCTGAAAAATGCAAACAACGACCGTGCGGTTGAATGTTATACGGTGTTTCGCGTTCCGGAGGGTTAATAACTGTCCGCGGAATCTGATACGAGCCGCGGCACTTCGAATTTGAATAATGGCGGATGGATAGCAACGGTGCGATAATAAGAAGCCCCGAGCATCGAATTCCGGCTAAACTGGGATCAAATTTCGCTTTTCTCCAACGAATACGATGAAAAATCGATTGTCCCGCGATTCGACTTTCTCGCAGAACGAAAATTTGGCGCGCGTAGGATAGCCGATAGAATCGGATCGACGAGGCGCGGCTCGGTAGAAACGGGCGAACAAACGTCGGCGCGAACAACGGTCGAGAACGGGCGAACGGGCGAACGGGCGCGTGCATCTGCGCCGTCGAAATCGATTCTCGGGGCCTGGCCTGGCTTGTTCCCGTCGCCGGATAACAAACAATACGCGGCTGGATGAACCTCGAAATCTTTGTTTGCCGTCCTTGTACCACCGGTAAACGTCCACGCTGGCCGACAATGAAAGCGGCCGGGCCGAGCGGGCGAGCGCACGCGCGTGAATTCCAGCCTCGATTGTGTTGCAAATTAGTCCCTGGACTCGCGCGATTGTTCGGCCCTGATTTCGACCTCTCTTTTATTTTATTCGGTTGCTCGCCAAAGTAGGCCAAAATCGTTAGTTCCGCTAAACCGAAGCAGGCGAAATTCGTCGTACCGCGCGCTAATTTTACACCGTCGTACGGGCAAAATTCCGTTATCACGCGGCATGGAAAGCCACTTGTTCGATCGCGACGGAGAACAGAGGTTGCGAGAAAAGAACGAAACGCAACGGTATCGTCGAGCAACGATCGGACTCGTTCGAAACGACTCGTTGGTTCGCGATTGGAATTTCTCTCGATGTACAAAAATTTCCGCCGACGAACGACGATGGCGACTG